ATGTCCCTGGGGTGTGATGGAGCTACATGTGTGTGTGTTCAGGGGGGACATATGTCCCTGAGGTGGACATGGAGCCACATGTGTCATTGTGGGGAGGGACACATGTCCCTGGGATGTGCAAGGAGCCACATTGTGTCATGGGGGGGCTGCATGTTCCCTTGGAGGTGTGCATGGATCCATGTGTGTCCTTGGGGGACACGTGTCCCTGTGGGTGTGCATGTCCTGAGGGCTCTGTATGGAGTCACAGGTGCCCCCTGGGGTGTGCATGGAGCCACGTGTGTCATTGGGGGGGGGCTGCATGTTCCCCTAGGAGCATGCAAGAACCCACCTGTGTCCTCTTGGACATGTATGTCCCATGGGCTGTGCATGGAGCCATGTGTGTTCTTGGGGGACACACGTGTCCCTGTGGGTGTGCAAGAAGCCACGTGTCCTCTTGGACACATGTCCCCTGGGCTGTGCGTGGAGCCACGTGTGTCCTCGGGGGGAGGGAATGTATGTTCCCCTGGGATGCTCACGGAGTCACATGTGTGTTCTGGGACATGTGTGTCCCATGGGCTGTGCATGGAGCCACGTGTGTGTTCAGGGAGGACACGTGTCCCTGGGGCTGTGCATGGAGCAGGTGTGTCCTGGGGGGAGTGACAGACATGTATGTCCTGGGGGGGGGGGGGGGAAACACGCGTGTCCTCCACCTTGGCATGTCCCTCCCCTTCCCAGGTCAGTGGAGGAGCCGATGGAGGCCGAGCCCACGCTCTGACCCACCCACATCGTTCCCGCCTCTGAAAAAACCAAGAAGCACCCAGAAGAGATGAAAAAACTCTCTCACACACACACACACACACACGGAAAAAAAATCACAGTAAAAGGGAAAAAAACACTTAAAAAAAAAAAGACCAAAAAAAGAAAAGAAAGACAAAAAAAATGACAAAAAAAAAGACCAAAAAAAAGGCAGGAACCAGAAGGAAAACCAGAAAAAAGAGGAAAATATTTTCTTTTTCTATTAAAAAGAGAAGAAAACCACAAAAAAAATCCCCCCCCATCCAGTGCCCCCCCTCCGGCTCCCCCGCGGTGTTGTCGGTTGTGTCTCTTGTGCAGCAGCGATTCCACCAGCACCCCGTGTCCCCCCTGTGTCCGTCGGGTCCCCCCCGTTGCTGCCCAGACCCCCCCCGGTGCTCCTCTCTCTTTTTTTTAGGGATTTTTCCTTATTTCCCCTTCTATTTTTTGTGTGTGTGTGTCCCTCTTTGTTCCCTCCTCGGCTCCGGCATTTGTCCCCCCCTCCTCCTCCAACCCCACCCCCAGGGGAGGCGATGGGAAATATTTGTGCCTTTGATTATTTTTTTTTAATGCCTTAATTTCCCTTAATTTTGGGTTTTCTTAATTTTCTTGGGGTTTTTTTTTTCCCCTCCTCTAAGAACAAATTTGATCCCAACGAAGGGGTGACAAAGGGATGGGGGGTGAGGGAGGGACGCACAGAGCTCATCCCTTTGTCTCGTGTCCCTGTCCCAAACGGGGAGGCCGAGGGGAAAAAAAAAAGAGACAAAAAAAGAGAAAAAAACACTTTATTTTCCAGTTTTATCACCAGCCAGAGGGGCCTCGGAGCAATTTTAGCTTTAAAAGAGAGAAAACTACCCAACCACCCCCCTAAAAAGGGATATAATTTTATTACAGATGGATTATTTAATAGTATTTTTTTAATGGGGGGGTGGAGGGGTGGGGACAGGGACAGCACGTTGTGGGTTAAGTTATTTTGGGGATGAGGGGAATTTGGGGGGGTCCCCAAATTAGGACAGAGGGATGAGCATGTCCTTGGTCGCCTCTCCTAACCCTGGGTGGGGGGGAAAGTACCCCGGTTTAGGGTGAGGAAGGGAGGGGTGTCACTGTGAGGACCCCAGTGTGGGTGTCCCCCGTGTCGGGGACACCCCGTGTGTGGTGGTGGTGCGAGGGGGTCCCAGATCCCCATCCCAAGAAGGGGAAACGCCCCCGGGATGGGGGGAAGGGGGTGTCGGCCCCCTAGCAGTGTGCCCGGCTTGCTTTGGGCTGGTGTCCCCTCCACCCCCGTGTGTCCCCCCGTGTCCCCCCTCGGTTGCTGTCAGTCCCACCCCCCAGCTCACGCTCGCTCTGGGTCTCGGTTCAGTATTTTGTAAGATGTCACCGATGTTCGTCCTTGTATAAATAAACTGTTTCTGGCAATACCCGCCGGCCCCCACTGCCTTTGGGGGGGTGGGGAGGTTCCCCGTGTCCCTGTTCCCATCTCTTGGTGTTCCCAAGGCTTCCTGGTGTCCCTTTGTGCCTCGGTTTCCCCACCTACAGCAACTGGTGCAGGGAGGGGACCAACGTGTCCACCCCAGCATCTCTGGAGGGGCTCTGTCCCTCCCTGTCACTCCCCCACTGTGGCTGGGGGGGCTCTGTCCCCCTCCCAGCCCTGCCCTGGGTCCCCCTAGCTCTGCCTCTGTGCCCCCCCCCCCGTCTTTGCAGGACTCGGGCCCGGTGGGTTGGTTTTGGTGCTTTATTTGGTAAGAAACGAGGTGACCCCCCCGCCTCCGGTGGTATAAGGGGGGCTCCCGGCGTTGGGGGGGGGTTCCCATCCCTGCTCCAGAGAGGGGAGAACTGGGGCAGCTGGAGGTGGGGGGGTGGCAGGTCAGTGACCCCCGGGCTGGGGCTGTCCCTGTGCTGTGTCCCCAGACCTGCTGGGCACGGGGCACCCCCAGCTCCGCCCCCCCGGGGGGGTCCTGCTGCCCAGGGGAGGGGGGACAGGGCTTTTAGTGCAACAACTGGGGAAGCCTGGCCTGAAGCCACCAGCGATGGGGACAGCAAAGGGCAGAGCCGGGACGGGGGGTGGGAATCAGCAGGAGGGGGCGAGGACTCCCCAAATCGGTGGGGGGCTGGTCCCTGGGGACGAGTGAGGATGAGCCGGGACCCCCTACTTAGTGAGGGGTCCCCGGGGGCGGGTGAAGGTGAGGATGAGCTGGGAGAGGTGCAGGGACGCCCCTACTCTGCCCTAGGGGGGTCTCCGGGGCAGGTGAGGGTGAAAATGAACCGTGACAAGAGGGAGATCCCTACTCAGTGGGGGGCGTCCCTGGGGGCAGGTGAGGATGAGCAGGGACCCCCCTCCTCAGTTTGGGGGGTCCCCAGGGGCAGGTGAAGGTGAGGATGAGCCAGGGCAGGAGGGGGGACTCCAACTCAGTGTGGGAGGAGGGCCCTGGGGGCAGCTGAGGATGAGGATGAACCAGGGCAGGGAGTGGGTACCCCCCTACTCAGTGTGGGGGGCTCTCAGATGAGCCAGGGCAGGTCAGGGATCCCCCTACTCTATGAGGTGGAGAACAAGCCAGAACAAGGGCGGCGGCCCCCTAATTGGTGTTGGGGGGGACTTGGGAGGGCTCCAGGAAGCTCCTGAGGGCGATGACGAACCGGGGCAGGACGGAGACCACCAGGAAGGGCCCGGCTGCGTAGTGCACGACCACGTGCCTGTACAGGGCGGCCGCGTCCGAGGGCCTGGGCAGCCTGTGCACCAGCTGCAGGGCCAGCAGGGCCAGAGCCGTGCTCGCCACCCGCAGGCGGCCGTCCAGGAGCTGCTCCTCGTCCCGGCGGCGCGGGGGGGTCTCGGCGGCCAGGGCCAGCCCCAGGGCACTGCCCACCACCCGGCACAGCGAGGCGAAGGGCCGCGTGTCCGGCCGCAGCCACGCCGGGTCCGAGCACCAGGCGCTGGCCAGGCGGAGGGACCTGCGGGGGGGGCTCCACGGTTGGTGTTCCCCCCCACCCCAAAAAGGGGCTGGGGGTAGGTCTTTGGGGTAGCCCCCTCCTCAAATGGGTTGGGGGTAGGTCAGGGTGGATCCTGACAGTCTAGGGGGCAGATCCCTAGGGATAGCACTCCCCCCATCCCCAAATGTCTGGGGGCAGATCCCTGGGGATAGGACCCCCCACCTCCCAAAACCAGTGTAGGGGGCAAATCCCTGGGGTTACTCCCATCCCAAAATGGTCTGGGGGCAGATCCCTGGGTATAGTACCCCCCGAAAAACAGCCTGGGGGTAGGTTCCTGGGGTTAGTACCCCCCAGACACATCCCAAAAATAGTCTGAGAGGAGATCTCTGTGTAGCCCCCTCCCCAAATGGTCCGGGGGCAGATGCCTGGAGCTGGATACCAACAGCCTGGGGGACAGATCCCTGGGGATAGTACCCCCTGAAAAACAGCGTGGGGGTAGGTTCCTGGGGTTAGTACCCTCCCCCCAAACATCTGGGGGCAGATCCCTGGGGATAATACCCCCGCACTAAAAACAGTCTGGGGCAGATCCCTGGGGCCGTTCCCCCCAACACCTCCCAAAAACTGTGTAGGGGGCAGATCCCTGCAGTTAGTCCCATCCCAAAATGGTCTGGAGGCAGACCCCTGCGGCTGTTCCCCACAATAGCCTGGGAACAGATCCCTGGGGATAACCACCCTTCACCCAGAGGGGCTGATCCCTGGGGATACCCCTTTCCACCCTGGAAGGCTGAACCCTGAGGATACACCCTGCCACCCTGAGGGGCTCATCCCTGGGGATAACCCCCTCCACCCTGGAATGCTGATCCCTGGGGATATCCCCCATCCTCCCTGGGCACTCACCAGTCGAGGTCGATGCCAGCAGCCGTAGCCAGGCTGTGCAGGGCCAGTGCACTCAGCATCAGTACCACAGCCACCGCCACGAAGAACCGGAACACACGGAAGTTGGGGGGGCAGCGCTGCAGCCCCCAGCCCAGCGCCGAGCCTGGCACAGGGAACAGGCAGGTTTGGGACTGGGATGGACCGGGAAAGGGGCTCGAGGGAAGGGGAAGGTGCCCCCTACACCCTGAGCCAGGATGGGGTGTTGGGATATGTGTGCCCCCCACTCCCCTCACCTGCCAGGATGCCGGTGACCACCTGGTGGGGGAAGTGGGCCAGGACAAAGATCCGGGAGAGCCCCATGGCCACCAGGAAGAGGGTGTAGGCAAGGAAAGGGATCAGTCTCAGCACCCGGCTGGAAGGGAACCGGGGTTAGTGGTGGAGGGAGGTAGCCCCTGGCTCCAGCTCTGGCCAGGCAGGGCAGGATTGATCCCACCGAGCAGCAGGAATGGGTGAAGCAGAGGTGAAGAAGGCAAGAAAAAATGTTGGGGGGGGTCTCACAGCCTCTTCCCGAGCTGCCAGGGGAGGGATGTGTCCCCCTGGAGCTGCCCTGCTGGGAGGGGAAGAGATCCTACTCACCCCCTGCCGAGGAGGGGTCCCACATCCCACCCGCCTCTTCCCAAAGGTGCTCTGGAAGCTTCCAAGCTCTGGTTTCCCCATCCCAGGCTCACCATGCCCACTTAAGAAAGGTCCCACATCCCACCTCCCTCTTCCCACAGGTGCTCTGGAAACTTCCAAGCGACAGTTTCCCCATTCCAGGACTCATCCTGCCTATCCCCCATGGGTGCTGCCTGCCAAGGAGGGGTGCCACATCCTATCCCCTCTTCCCACAGGTGCTCTGGAAGCTTCCAGGTGCTGCCCATCCCAGACTCACCTGCGGGTGCTCCGGGCCACCTCAGCTGTCAGCGCGGTGACAAGTGGCCACAGGGCTGCCCCGGGGATCATGCAGTGGCCTGAGGGGCTCCCTGGGTGGGGGGAAGCACATGGAGGGTCAGGGGGAGCTTGTCCCAGTGGGATGAGAGCTGGGAATGTCGAGCCTAACCCTGCCTGCACCCGGGGATCCCTCCTGGCTGAGCCTGGAGGCTCAGGGATGGGGATGGAGCCAGTGCTCAAAACTCCAGGCATGTTTACAGGGAGCCCAGGTGGAGCAGTGACATTCCCAGACTCTCCCGTGGGTTTCCTGGCCCCGGAACCATTGGTGCCGCAGGGCTGTGCCAGCACCGGCGGCGTTGGACCCGCTCCCTGCTGCTCCCTCGTATTTCCTGGCTGAGGAACAGCTTTTCCCGCTCCCAGCCCGGCATTCCCACAGGGGTGGAGCCTCCTGGCTCCTGCGGCTCCTCCCCAGGGATCATCAGGTTGTCCTGGACAAGTGGAGGCTTCACCTGTGACTCACCTGGTCCCGTTTCGCAGGTGACCGGGAACTGGCGCAGCGGGAACTTCTCCAGCTCCTCCTGGGAGAACAACCCGGACTCATGGATCCACCAGTACGGGCGTTCCCCAAATAGGAACCTTGAGGGACGGAAAACACCAGAGCCTTCCCACCCATCCCAGGGGATCCAGGAGGGCAGGATCCCTGCCACCCATCCCATGGGATCCATGAGGGCACGATCCCTGCCACCCATCCCAGAAGACCGGGAAAGGCAGGATCCCTGCCACCCATTCCATGGTATTGGGGATTTGGGAAGACAGAATCACTGCCAACCATTCTGACATTTCCAGGGATGAAGCCAGAGTGAGATGGCAGGATTCCTGCACCCATTCCAGGGGAACCCAGCATGGAGCCACAGCAGGAGGGCACGATCCCTGCCACCCATCCCAGAGGACTGGAAAGGGCAGAATCCCTGCCACCTATCCCATGGTATCTGGGGATTTGGGAGGGCAGAATCACTGCCAACCATTCTGGGATTTCCAGGGACAAAGCCCCAGCAGGAGGGCAGGATCCCTGCCATTCATCCTGGGATTACCAGGGATGGAGCCACAGCAGGACAGCAGGATCCCTGCCACTCTTCCCGGGATTTCCAGGGATATATCCACGGTAGGAGGGCAGGATCCCTGCACCCATCCCAGGTGACCCATGAGGGCAGGATCCGTGCCACTCATCCTGGGATTACCAGGGATGGAGCCACAGCAGAAGAGCAGGATCCCTGCCAGTCCTGATGCCTCCCGGGGTTTTCCCTGCCAGGGATTCCTGGCAGATGCCTGGGGCAGCTTGGGTGACCCTGCGGAATGCTGCAGGGAGTCTGTGCCCAGAACTCCGGGAGTTTCCCTGAGCTGTGTCCCCATGCCAGTGCCACCCCCAGTGCCACCCCCAGTGCCACCCCCTCACCATTTGAGGACCACGTTGAGCCACTCAGCCACGAGCCCGATCCAGAGCACCATGAGCCCCACCCGGGCATCCAGCCCGTGGGCCAGCGGGAAGCAGAAGGTGTAGATGGATTTGGGATCGAAGTGGGATGTCAGGTAGACCCAGAACTGCTCCAGCCAGGGCGGCCCAGCCTGCAGGGCCAGGGCTGCCCAGATCCCGGCCTCATGCAGGGCATCCATGGCACCCGGCTGGCACATGGGGACAGAGATCAGTCTGGGCACAGATCCCTTGGGAATCCCCCTGGGAAGGGGCTGGGAGGTGGCTGGATACTGAGGGAATCCCTTGGGAAGGGGGTGAGAGGTGGCTGGATACTGAGGAATCTGGGGGTGGGAGGTGGCTGGATCCTGAGGGATGGGATGTCTTGGGAAGGGCCTGGGAGGTGGCTGGATCCTGAGGAATCTCTTGGAAAAGGGCTGGGAGGTGGCTGGATCTTGAGGGATGTCTTGGGAAGGGTCTGGGAGGTGGCTGGGTCCTGAGAATTCCCTTGGGAAGAGGGTGGGAGGTGGCTGGATCTCAAGGATACCCTTGGGAAGGGGCTGGGATGTGGTTGGATCCCAAGGGATGCCTTAGCAAGGATCCAGGGAGTTATTCACCACCTGAAGTTTGCCCACAAGGGACTTCCAAACTTCTGCTTGGGGGGTCCCAGTGGAGCAGAGCTGGGAGTCAGGGATGGGGGCCAGGGGAATCCCTGTGGGAATTGCTGGAGCAGCCAGGCTGCTCCAAAGAGCCCCGACCTCCCTGAGGACTCTTGGGGTCTTCCATTGGAAAGTTCCCTAGGGTCATTCTGGAGCAGGCCTGAGGTCTCCCTGGGGTCTTCCCTGGAGCCAACCTGGGGACTCTTTGGGGTTTCCCTGGGGTCTCTCTAAAGCAGGTCCTGGGCTTCCCTGGGATCCCTTTGGGGGTCTCTCTGGAGGAGGACTGGGATTTCCCCAGAGACTTCCCTGGAGCTGACCTGGGGTCTCTTCGGGGTCTGTCTGTGGTCTCAAGCAGGGAAACTCCTTGAGGTCTTCCTGGAGCAGGACCAGGGTCTTCCTAGGGGCTCTCTGGGATCTCTTTGGGGTCTCCCTAAAGCAGGTGCCAGATCTCTCTGGGCTCCCTTTGGGGTTTCCCTGTGGTCTCAGGCCTGGACCCTCCCAGGGCTCTCCCTGGCTCAGACTCCGAGATCTCCCTGAGGCCTCTCTGGGGTCTCCCTGGATCAGACTCGGGGTCTTCTCGGGCCTCCCTTGGCCTCTCAGGCCCGAGGCCTCCCTGGGGTCCCCCTCACTCCAGACCCGCGGCCTCCCATTGCCCGCAGGACCCTCTGAGACGCCCGGCCGCGCTCCTCGCCGCTCCCCGCTCACCCCGGTGCGGTCGGGCGGTACCTGCTGGGGGAGCTCCATGTCGGGGGGACCCCCTAAACCGTCCCTCCCGCCGCTCTCACAGCCCCTCTTCCGCCTACAACTCCCGACGCCCCCCGCGGCGCCGCGCGCTGACGGCAGCGCGGGGGGGCCAAACCCCGCCAGGCGCGGGGGAAGGAGGGCGGGACCCCGCGGGCGCTCGACCAATCACGAGGCGGGGCGGAGCAGATCGGCGGGGCGGAGCGCCAATCCCCGCCCTCGCCGCCGAGGTGGCCCCGCCCCCCGCCGCGCCTGGGCCGAGGCGAGCGGAGCCGCGGGCGCTGCGGGCGGACAAGATGGCGGCGCCGGGCGAGTACTTCAGCGTGGGCAGCCAGGTGTCCTGCCGCACCTGCCAGGAGCAGCGCCTCCAGGGCGAGGTCGTCGCCTTCGACTACCCCAGCAAGATGCTGGCGCTCAGTATCCGCCCGCCTGTGTTTCGTCCCGGTGGTCCTCGGGCCCCCGCCGCGGCCCGCCCGGGCCTCTGCGGCCCGCCCGATATGATGGGGGGGGGGGGGGGGGGGGGGGGGGGGGGGGGGG